CTGAGTCGCTGCCTGACGGTGCCGAGGACCGGTGAGGGTCCCCAGAGGCAGAAACTAGCGAACAACCTGCCGTCGGGTTTTTTGTATGTGTAGCTCGAGGGGGTCCGGGGTCTCCGTGTGTTTTCGGAGGCGGCCAAGAGGGGGGCGTCCAAGAGGGGGGGTGCAGATCATGACCGGCGGCATGTGCGCGGCCCAGCGGGGAGGCCAGGGACGTCATGAAACAAGAAGAGGCGCCATGAAACCTGGGGAGATGTCATGGCCCCCGCCAGGATATCCACCGCCCCCTAGTCCTAGTCGTCACCCCCCTCTTTGCCGCCCCCGAGTTTTGTCCCACCCGAATCCTCCAGGGCCCAGGGCGCTCCGCGGCCGGGCTCCGGGCCCTCGCCGCGGGGCGCCCCCGGCGCGGCGCCGCCGCGCACGCGGCGCAGCCACGACAGCATCGGCCCGTGCACCGCGGCGTGCAGGGAGCGCGCCAGCGCGAGGGGGGGCTCCTGAAGCACGCCACGAGGATAGGTGCACAGGCCCTTCCTCCTGCTCCTCCTCCTCCTCCTCCTCCTCCTCCTCCTCCTCCTCCTCCTCCTCCTCCTCCTCCTCCTCCTCCTCCTCCTGCCGACGAATTTGGCCTGTACCTTCAGGGAGGGTGGCGGTGTATAAGATCGCTGGCTCTCAATCATGATTTATACGCCGCCACCCTCCCGTGAGGCCCAGGAACAATCCGTTGGAGGGTGTCTGTGTGTGTATTTCTGTGGCGGATGAAGAGCGGACCCAGACCCCCTCGGGTCGTGGAAAAATCATGGCGGGGAATATTTCGCCATTTACGGCCTCTGGGGCCCTCACCGGCCCTCGGGACCGTCAAGGAAGGACTCGGGACGAAGAGCTGGTCCAGGGGAATGGGTCCACCCCCGTCACGAAAGAGTATCCTGACGTCCGGGATCGTCAGAACACGGCTTGGGAGGCAGAGCCGGTCCAGGGGAATGGGCCCAGACCGCTACAGGGGGTGCACATCAGGAAAAAATCCTGACGTCCGGGACCGTCCGAGAACGACTCGGGAGGAAGAGCCGGCCCAGGGGAATGGGTCCAGAGGGCCCACGTCATGGAAGGATTCATGACGCCGGGGGTCTGGGTCCGCCTCCTCCTCCTCCTACTCCTCCTTCTCCTCCTCCTCCTCCTCCTCCTCCTCCTCCTGGGGGAGGGGGCCAGGCCCTGCGCGAAGAGGCCGGGGACGGGGGAAGGGGGGGCGCACGAGCGGCGAAGAGCGTGCCCGTGTATCCGCGCCTCCACTGGCCGCCGGCCACCCCCCAGGGCGCGGCCGCACGCGGTGTGCGTTGGGCGCGGGGCACCCGCGCCAAGAGCACCCCGTGTTGACATCCGCGGGGTCGCTAGGGGGCCACATGCGAACCCTACCCCTACCCCCCACGATTTCTGAGGGGGAGGGTGGGGCTCACTTTGCTCGGGAGCTCCCGAACGAAGTGAACCCCACCCTCCCCCTCAGAAATTGTGGGGGGTAGGGGTAGGGTTCGCATCTGGCACCCTAGTCGCGGCCCTCCCCAGGCCCCCTCGAGGTGCAAAAAAAGAATCACGGCGGAAGGTTCTGCGCTATGTTCGGCTTCCGGTGGCCCTCCCCAGCCCTCGGGACCGTCAGAAAAAACGACTCGGGATGAGAGACCGGCGCCGGGGAGGGGGTCGAGGCCTTTTGGGGGTCGATGAACACACCATGACGTCGGGGGTCTGGGTCGGGAGCTGGGCCCGCGAGAGTCCGCGGATGCGGATGCGGAGAATATTTTTCGGCCTCGTGGGGCTGGCTCATGTCGCAAGACATGCCCAGACGGAAGCTCTTTGTCGTGTTCGACCCCTCGTGTCGTAATCAGGGCATGCTCGTGTCGTGCGGCATGCTCGTGTCGCGCGACGTGCTCGTGCCGAAAGAGCCAGACATGCCCGCACGGACACGTTTCGTCGTTTTCGGCCTCTGCGTGGGGGTCCTTGCCGGGGCCCCGGGCCGTAGGATGAACCGCGGGCCCAGGGGAAGGGGTCGACGCTACATCAGTAGACGAGCGCGTTCCACTACTCGCAAAGTAACTACTCGCAAATGGCCTGGATCCGCCGCGGGGGATCTACGAGACGTTACATCGAAGCAGACATATGTTTTTTTTCCGGACGTTGAGAGTAGTCACTTTGCGAGTAGTGGAACGCCTTCGGTGAGTCAGGACAGCTCATGTCTGGGCTGCTAGGTTGGGAGGAACCTTCTGGGAGGAACTCGTAAAAACGAGCGCTACAGGAGGTCCGATTGTCGGGGCTTCGAGCCGGAGTGAGCTCGGGAGTAAGCCCGGGATTAAGCCAGATTGAGCCGGATCGACTGGGACTGCGAGGAAATATGCGGGACGGTGCTGGAATATGCCGGTTTTCGACCACGGACACGCGAGCGCCGATGCTGAAGTTCACCTCCCAGGGGTTGCATTCTAGGGTAGGGGGCCCGTCCCTGGCGCGAAAAGCCCAACAAGGTTGAGGAAAAGAATGCTGCATAAGTAGAGAACCTCGGAGGCCCGCGCGGATTGCATGGATCGGCGCTGGACCCCTCCGGCGGCGCCACGGCGCCGTCCCGAACCCGGGAGGGGGGCCCAGCGCCGATCCAAGGAATCTGCGCGGAGCTCCGCAAGGCGAGATTTTGGCGATTTCTCTTTTCGAGCCAGGAGAGGCCAAACATTTTTGATCCGCGGGTCGAGAGCGCACCTCTTCCGGTCGAAGCTAAGCGGGCCGCGCGAAGGTTGAATTCGGCAGAGGAGAGGAGGGAGGAAGCGGCGGAGCCTCAGAGCGAGGCCGAGAAGAGGCATAGCCTCGGATCCAGGCGGTGCCGAAGCCGAAGTTCATGCAAAGGGACGCCTTCGGCAGGAGCCCGGTGGCGAAGTACCGGAGAAGAGCAAAATGCTACCGTAGGTGTTATTGTCGTCAACGTTTGAGGAGAGGCCAGACATGCAACCCGATGCTTTCAATACGCGGTCCCTGGAAGACCCGGCCCCTTCCCCGGGGACCGGCTTTTCAACCGGAGTCGTTCCTGGACCGGACTCTGGCCGGGGGGCGGGCCGACGCGCGCGGCCTGCGAAGAAAGGCACCCCCGCCTATCAGACACCGCCCTGCCTCTCTAGGAGGCCGATGGTTCCTCCCCTTAGACCCCCGACGTAAGGATTTGATCATACATCGACCCCCAAGGAATCTCGACCCCTTCCCCGGGACCAGCTCTCCATCCCGCGTCGTTCCTTGACGGCCCTGGGGCCCGGCAAGGGCCCCAAGAGGCTGGGAAGGACGAACCAAAACCGATCTGGAGTCTCTGCGGCGCAAGAAGCATGTCTGGAAGCTGCTTTAGATTACACCCCTGCTTACAGACAAGAACATGTGACGCTAAGAGAGCGGACTTCACTGCAAGCGTAAACCGTAGTCCAGGTACACATGTACGAACGTCCTAACAAAAAGAAGCCATATATATTTTTATATGCAAAAAAGGTCAAGTCCAGATGATTGATCCCACGAAAGATGACGTTGTCCCTCCAGAGTTCCGATGAGTGTATCCTCACAACACGTGCTAGCGCCAACGCGTGCTTGTCCGCGGCAGCCCTTCAGCACGACGCAGACGGCACTCTGAAGGCCGGCACGGGCGACGTGCTGTCGGCGGAGCCGAGCGGGATAAACACCCACACACACACACACACATACACACACACACACACTGGGCGAACCCAGGATCGTCGAGCCTTGGCTCAAGGTCGGCCCCTCGGCGGCCTCCGGCCGAGCCTCCCGCGCGCCGATCCAGAGACATCTGCGCGCACCTCCACAAGGTTCTGCTCCAATGCCGTTCCCCCCTTCGAGCCAGACCCCCTGGCATCGTGAGTTTTTCATCACGTCGACCCCCAGAAGTCTCGACCCCTTCCCCGGGACCGGTGTTACATCCTGGTCCCGAGGCCCGGTGAGGGCCCCCGGAGGCCGGAAACAGCGAAACTCTCCCCCTCGTGATGCCTTCCTTGCGCGAGGGGGTCTGGGGAGCCAGGGCGGCGGCTTGGCTTGAGTGCTCGGCGCTTCGCGGCCCCCCGGCGGGCTCCGGCCGAGCCGCCCACGCGCGGGAGTCCATGAGCAGCGCGTGCGCGCGGTCGGCGCCGGCGCCGTGCAGGGCCGCGCGGGCCGCGGCGCGCAGGGCCCCGGCCAGCTGTGCGGCGGCCTCCCGCGGCCTGCTGGGAGGCCCCAGGGCGGTGCGGTGGCGGGCGGTGCGGAGGCCCCTCGGCCTGCACCCTCCGCGCCGTCCGAGCGCGCAGGTGCCGCCTCGAGGCGGCCGCGGCCGCGGCGGCACCTGCCGCGCGGAAGGCGCGGAAGGCGCGGAAGGCGCGGGAGGCGCGGAAGGTGCGGAAGGCCTCGGGGCCCCAGGACGTCGTCGTCGTCGTCGTCGTCGTCGTCTTCGTCTTCGTCTTCGTCTTCGTCTTCGTCGTCGTCGTCGTCGTCGTCGTCGTCGTCGTCGTCGTCGTCGTCGTCGTCGTCGTCGTCGTCGTCGGTGACGGGCGGTGCGGTGACAGAGAAATCCCCCCAAAGATCTCACCGCACGCTCGGTCAGCGCACGGCGTGAGGGCCCCAGAGGCCCAGGTGGCCTGAGGCGTCCTCGGAGGACGACCCGAGTCTGAGAATCGTGCAGTCACCCCGAGTCCCCACTGGCTCACCACTCGGTGTGGTCACCGCGCCGTCTGGGGGCCCGCCGACCTGTGCTGCCCCTCGAGGGCCGCGGTCGCCGGGGCGCGGTCGCGCGCGGAGGGCCGCAGGGCCGCCAGGCACATGCGGCGCAGCAGGGCGAGCCCCAGCTGCCACATCAGCCGGGGCCCGCACAGGTCCAGCACCCTGCCGCAGGCGGCAGCGTCCAGCGGCCCCTCCAGGGCCGCGAGGCTGCGCCGCCAGCAGCCGCCCAGGGCCAGCGCCGCGGCCGCGGCCGCCTCCGCGCCGCAGTGGCGCAGGGCCCAGCGGCGCAGCGCGTGGAGCCTCGCCTCGCCGGGGGCGCCGCGCTCGCCCTGCTCCAGCGCGGCCACGGCGGCCGAGACGCTGGTCGCGTCGGGCTGCACCGCGAGGGCGGGCATGAGCTGCAGCAGCCCCAGGGCGCAGCGCCACGCCCAGCCGCGGGCGCAGGCCACGAGCGCGGTGTTGAGGCCGACGACGTCCAGCTCGCGGCGCAGGCGGTGGCAAGCCGCGAGGAGGCTCAGCGCGTGGCGCCAGGCACCGCCCGCTTTGCACGCGTCCAACGCCAGGTTGCACGTCAGCGCGGCTGGCCTCAGCCTGCGGGATGCGGCCTCGGCGAGGAGTGCGAGGCCGCGCTGCCAGAGCCCCCGCCTCGCGCAGGCCGATAGGGCCACGTTGAAGCTGATGAGGTCGGGCGACAGCCCGCGGCGCTCCATCACCCGCAGGAGCTCCAGGCACTGGTGCCACTGGGCGCCACGGCTGCACGCGCCACTGGCAGCGTTGAGGCTAGCGGCGTTCGGGGCGATCTGGAGCCGTCCGGCGCCATGAAGCAGCGCCACCGCGGCGCTCCAGCACGTGGCCGCCTCGCATGCGGCCAGGCAGGCGGTGAGGCTCACCACGTCGGGGAGCACACTCTCACGGCGCATGCGGCCCAAGAGCTCCACGCTGAGCTCCCAACGCCCTGCGCGGCCGCACGCGCTGATCGTGGAGTTGAAGGCGTAGGCGTCCGGTGGAGGCAGCGGAGGCCGCATGGCGCTCAGCAGAGCCAGCGCTGGCTGCCACTGCGCACACCTGTCGCACGCGCTGATGACCGTGCTGTGGCTGATGACGTCGGGCTCCCACCCCTGCAGCATCCCCTGGCCAGGAACCGGCAATCGGGGATGGACGGAACCCCCTTTAGCAAAACGTGGTTTGGTGAAAACGACCTCGGGCCCGAAACTGGCGGGCGCAAGTCTGGAAAATGACGGCCGCGGCGCCCTCACGAGAAGCGAAAACGGACAAGTCACTAATCGACGTGTCAGGGTGGGGGCTCTGTTCCCCCCCGACGCAGCGAGGCTGCCCGCAGCTGGTTCCCAGCGCCCAGATCCACCGGGAGCACCCGCGCATCGAGGGTGGCGCCAGGCAGAGGGGGGCCGAAAACAGCCGCGCGCAGCAAGCCTCCCGAGGCCCCCGACGCCGCGCTTCTTCGAGAGCTGGCGGCCCCGGCGGACCCTGGACCCCACCCCCTGGCTCCGTGCTTCACGGGGCGGAGAGCTGTCCAGGTCCACCGCCTGGGGGGCCGACGCCCTGGGACCCCTGCCGGCCGTGGACGTGGATACCCCTGGGTCGGGAGAAGCAGGCAGACACACGCAAGGAGGGCGCCTGGAAGTAGATTGGGCCCTGGAAAGCCAAAAATGCCGACTTGCATCGAGCAGGGGCTGGACCGTCCCGGCATTCGTATAGGCCTACCACGACATGGTCCTTGGAGCCCAAAGATGTTCTAAGAACCAAAACAATAACCTCAGAGCATAAAACCGATGCGTTAAAACAAGACAGTCCCAGCCAGAAATGTTCGAATAACACTTCGTAGGAACCACAGGAACGGTTCTTAGAACATCGTTTGGTAGGCCTATGGGCACGCCAGGACGCTTCGCCGCTGCTTGATTGCAACGACCGATGGGTACATGCTGGCCCCATGGAGGCCGAGCATGTCAACACCCGCCGCCTGTCGAGGTCCCCCCCGAGGAGCCGTCCCCCGGGCAGCGGTCGTGGAAGAGTCCGCGCGCCCCCGCCCCGGCCGCTTCTTCGAGCCGAAGCCTGGGATCCCAGGCCCCCCTCGAATCATGACAAACATCACGACGGTAGGTTTTTCGCTACTTTTTGGCCTCTGGTGGCCCCTACGGGCCCTCGGGGCCGTCAAAAAAAAAGTCTCGGGAGGAATCGCCGGTCCCGGGAAGGCGTCGAGACTTCTGGTGGTCGACATGGTTTTTTGTTTTTTCTGTAAACCAAAAACGCACAGACACACAGACACACACACACACACAGAAAAAAAAAACACGACGTCGGAGTCCCAGACCCCCGACGTCATGAATTCTGCACGACGTCGACCCCCAGCGGTCTGGACCCCTTCCCTGGGGCCGGTTCTACGTCCTGAGTCGCTCTCTGACGGCCCTCTGGGGGCCCGCAAGGGCCCCCAGAGGGCCGAAGAGAGCGAAAAACCTGAGGCGCGATTTGTTCCTGACCCGAGGGGGGTCTGGGCTCTGGGCCTCGTGGCAGAGTCCTCGCGCCCATACTTGCGGATGCCGTGACAGTGGACACCCTAACAATCCGATCATTGAATTAAGAATTGTGCTTCGAATGTTTGAACAATGTTATTTGAATGTGTATTTAAGCCATGTCTTTTACATGTTTAAGACATGGTTTAAAACATGTTTTGGACATCAGGAGATTTTTTGGCAACATGCTTCCTCTCCAATTGGTCGTCGTCCTCGCGCCTCTACCGCCCGGAAACGGGGAAGGAGAAGCGCAGGCGTGCTTCTGCGGGCCACGGCGCGCCGCGGCCACGCCAACAGTAGCTCGGGCATCTCCCCCATACCAGGGTGATTTGGGGCGAAAATTGTCTAAAAGACCCAGAAACTGCTCAGAAATGTTCAGACCATGCCCAGAAAGCCAAGAAGATGGCCTGCGCTACGAGCGTCAGGTCGGGCGTGTCATCCTACAGGCGGGATTTGGGACGAGAAACGAGAAATACCCCAACAGTACCCCAGCATCGCCCACAAATGCTCAAACACTCGTCCCCAGACTACTTGGTTGGACTATTTTTGAATATGCCTCCTGTAGGAGCCTGTTTTTCTTTAGATTCGGGCAAGTTTACTTGCATGGACGGGGGGGGTGCTGAGTCTGAAGCAAGCCGAAAACAATTCGACGTGTGGAAATCACGCAAGTCGAAAGGCACTTGCACGCTCGTGTTTGTTCGATTGAAGAGGGGCGAGGGGGGGGGGGGGGGGGGGGCGAACGCCATGCAAGTAAGCTTGCCTGGATATAAAGAAAAACAGGCTCTAGAGGGACTGGCCCGACTTCTCGCTCACAAGGCTGCCCCCGGCCCAGAGCTGGGGAGGGCGACCCGACGACGCGAGAGAGAGCGCCCCCCCGCGCGCAGAGCGGTCCCCCATGCCAGCGCCTTTGGCAGTGCAGCGGAGGCCCAGGCATGATCGCGTCGTAGGGGAAAAAAACAAGTTTCTCCCAATGTTCGGCCTCGGGGGGCCCTCGCCGGGCCCCGGGACCGTCCAAAAACGACTCAGTATGAACGGCCGGTCCCGGGGAAAGGGTTTGGACTTCTGGGGACGCCGTCCTGAAAAAATCAGGACGTCGCGTGTCTGGGGGCCAGTCCACAAGAAACCTTCCACAAGAAACCCAACCCTGAGACCGCAAGGGGGGGTCCCTGATCCTTGGTGTGGGAGCGTCACGCCTGCCATAGCAGAGCCATCAAAACCCAAGAACCCCAGGGCACACTGGAGGCAAGCAGGGTGTTTCTTGGCATGAGTCTCCACTGTGATTAGCCACAGCCTCCTCACTCGACTCGAGGATTGCAAGAGCCTTCGGTGGAAACTCATGGGAGCCTCCCATACCATCTTCTCGGCTCTTGCGAATCGACGCTAGATGGACGCTAAATCGACGTCGATCGACGCTGAATCGACGCTAATCAACGCCAGCCGACGCTGAATCGGCGCTGCCTCGTCGACTCCCAGACGCCAGCCGACGCTGACGCTAACCGACGCTAACGGTGGAATTAAGAGGGTGCACCAGGCTCCCATAATTTGCCACCGAAAAGAAACCACTCTAGCAGAACGCCCTTTGATGAAACCTGCCAGGAGGCACTCCACGGGTGCGCGCGGCACCGCGTCCCAAACGCACCCGGGCAGAATACGTAGCTCACCGACGTCCAAAGCAGCCAAGTGCGTCCGTTTGGACGTCCGAAATGGGTACGGAAAACATGGGCACAATGCCCAACAACAAATGTTGTCCCAAACCACCAGCGGCCGCTGTTGGGCAGGCGGCCTTCTGTCTCAGATAGACACGGGCGCGCCGCGGCGGCGTGGACAGCGAGTCCTGCTCAGAATGACCAGGAACTGCTGTTGGGCAAAGCACCCATTCTCTCCGTACCCGTTTCGTTCGTGCTGAGTCCGGCCAAAAACGCACGCCGATCAGCGAAACCGACCGGGGACTGCACCGGCACACTTGCACATGCCGTTGCCGAGGGGGCGGGTGCAGAGCCCGTCTGGCAGCTCTGCCCGGGCTCTGATCTGTGGGCCGCCCGGCTGCGCGCCGCCCCCGCGCCCCGCGGCTGCGCAACCCGCGCGGTCATCTCCGCGCCCGCAGAGGCGCGCACGGCCAGCCCGCAGGGGAGGGCAGCTCTGCGGCGCGGGCGCGGGGCTCGCGGGGGCCTGTGCTCCCCCCGCGGGTGGCCCAAGGCTTGCGTCGCCGCTGCTCCCCGTCGGCCGTGCGAGATCGGTCCCCGGGACCCCCACGCGGAGCCCGTCCTGGCCAGCTGTCGGAGCTGCGCCCAGCCGTGGCCACGAGGGATCGCCCCCGGAGGCCCCCCGAAAAGGGTAGAGGCATCGTGTCCGCCAGCGTGGGCCCTGAGCAGGGGGTTCTTTCTTTCTCGACGGTGCACTTTGGGTGGTGCAATCTGCCGGGCGCAATCTATGTGGCGCATTCTATGGGATGCAATCTGTGGGACGGTATATGTGGTGCAGCCCATGTGCTGCAGTCTACGTGGTGCACCACTCGAATTATGTGGTGCAAGCTACGTGGCACAGACTTCTGGATACAACATGCGTGCTGCATCGCATGTGTTGCTATCTACGCTGTTGAACCTGCGTGGTGCAATACCTGTGTCGCCACGCGCGTGGTGCACTCTGCGTGATGTGCGGCAGGTGGCTCGAGCTGTGTGGGGCACTCGACGTGATGCAGGATATGTGCCGTGCGGTCCGTGGGGCGCAAGGCTGCAAGGTACGCACGGGGCGCCCACGAAGGCGCCCACGGGCGGGCGCTGGGTGCAAGCGCCCAGGACCCCAGCAAGCGCACGGCGCACCCGCGGGCGGGCACCGCCGGGCGAACAGAGGCTTCTTCCCGTCGCTGGCGAGGCGGAGTTGGCTGCGCCGGCGATAGAGCTAGACCGCCCACGCGTTGACAAAAACAAGACGGAGGATTTTCTCGAGGTTCGGCCTCTCGCGACCCTCGCCGGGCCCCGGGACCGTCAAAAGACGGCTCAGGACGAATAAAGAACCCGTCCTGGGGAATGGGTCGAGATTTCCGGCGACCCCGCATGGAAAAAAGCACGACGTCGGCTCCCTGCGGAGCTAGAGACCCCGGGGGCACCGACAAGCGAGGCTGGCCAGCGTGCCGGGCGAACGAGCACCAAGGGGGCCCAGCAGGCGCACGAGGCGTGCCCCTCCGGGCGGGCACCGCATGGAAAAAAGCAGGACGTCGGCTTCCTGGGGAGCTAGAGACGGGGGCACCGACAAGCGAGGCTGGCCAGCGTGCCGGGCGAACGAGCACCAAGGGGGGCCCCTGCCAGCAGGCGCCCGAGAGGCGCGCCCCCGCGGAGCGCCCCTGCGGGCGGGCGCCGCTGCAAAAGCACCGGGAGGAGCGCCGCCGGCACCCACGAGGCACCCACGGGGCGCCTACGGAGGGGCACGGGGCCTGTCTCTCATTTTAGGCAGGGACCGACCGTCACAGCATTCCTATAGGCCTACCACGACATGTTCGTATAACCCCAGGAATGTTCTAAGAACAAAAAATTATCCCAGTGCGACCCTACCTAGGAGTTGGAGCCTCTGGGAAAGCAACATTAGTAGGAGCGGTAAACGCCGTCCTCCTCCTTCTCCTCATCGTCGTGCTATGCTTTGCTATGCTATGCTGCGCTATGCTATGCTCTGCTCTGCTATGCTATGCGATGCTATGCTATGCTATGCTATGCTGCGCAATGCTATGCTGGGCTAGGCTAGGCTAGGCTAGGCGATGCTATGCTATGCTATGCTTTGCTATGCTGCGCTATGCTACGCTGCGCTATGCTATGCTATGCTATGCTATGCTATGCGATGCGATGCTATGCTATGTGTTTGCTTTGCCTTCGCTTTTGCCTTCACGTTTGCCTTTGCTTTTGCTTTTGCTTGGCACCCAGGGAGCGCAACTGGGGGAACCGCGCGTTTGCTTTTACCTTTGCTGTTGCTTTTGCTTGGCTCCCAGGGGACTGGGGGAACCGCCAGGGGCGGGTTGCACTGCCTGGCCCCTTTAAGCCAAGAGAGTAAGAACCCTTCTGGGCAGAGCCTACGTAGGGAACAATGTTCTTAGAACATCAAGCCGACGTGTGTTAAAGCAAGACGGCCCCAGCCAGGAATGTTCTAAGAATGTGTTGTGCAAACCACGAGAGGGGACGCTGCGCCACTGCTTCATCCTTGTCTCGTCGTCGACATCTCTCCCAGTGCTGGTGGCGAGCGCTTCCTCTGCGCCCCGGAGGTCATCCTGCTGCAACTTCTCTCTTTAATGCACTTCTTTTCCCGCCGCGCTCGCCACTCCAGCCTAACCTGTTCGTTTCTTCGCCTGAGTCGGCGACGTGTCTTTCTCCTTGCTGCACTGACGTAACAAACTCTGCGCCTCATGCCCGATTCGGGTCAAAAAGTGGGCACTGGGAGAACACCTGGAGAGCCCACCAAACCGCTTCAAAGCGAAACGAGGGCCCCCTTCTGAGCAGGCACTGCGTGTGACAAAGCCCACGCTTCGGCACTGCGTGTGACCAAGCCTCTCGGGCGCGGAGTCCGGCGCACCCGCGGGGGAGCTCCCCATCCTTGGCGGTGCGCCCAGGGGGACGTGAGAGGGGGCAGGCCTCCTGAGAAGCCGCAACTATCCGCGGAGAGGGGCCTATAGAACAGTTCTCACAAGGCCGGGGAGCCTTCCGAACCTGCTTTTCTGAGCAGGCCCGCCCCTGCCGACTTCCCCCAGTGGGCCCGCCGCCGACATCCGAGACACCTGCAAGGCCCGACCCCTTCCCTGGCACCTGCTCCTGGGAGCCTGTTTTTGGGGATTCAGGCAAGTTTACTTGCATGGCGTTCGCCCCCCCCCCCCCCCCCCCTCGCCCCTCTTCAAGCGAATACTAGCGTGCAAGTGCCTTTCGACTTGCGTGATTTCCGCGCCCCCCCCCCTGGGCTTGCTTCAGGCTCAGCCCCCCCCCCCCGTCCATGCAAGTAAACTTGCCAGAGTAAAAACAAAAAAAGAAAACAGCTCTGGGACCTCATGGGGTCGGTCCCGGTGCCCGGCGAGGGCCCCCAGACCCGGAAGCGGCAACAAAAAACCTTCCATCGTGATGCCGTGTTACACCGGAGGCGGAGCGCGGAGGAGGCAGGAGGAGAAAAGGAGGAGCCAAGAGGACGAGGCAGCTAAGATGAGGAGGAGGAGGAGGAGGAGGAGGAGGAGGAGAGGAAGGAGGAGGAGGAGGAGGAGGAGAGGAAGGAGGAGAAGGAGAGGGAGGAGGAGGAGGAGGACCATTTTGACCATTTGACCAAGCACAGGGTCGTGCGAGGAGGAGGAGGAGGAGGAGGAGGAGGAGGAGGAGGAGGAGGCAGGTGGGTTTCTCGGGGGCGGGGTCCCAAGGAAACACCAGGCGCTGTAGCGTACTACCTTTTGATCCCTGGGCGAGCCCCCACGGCAGCACGCCGAGGGCTGACACTGTCACCCTGGCTTTGCCTGTAATTTGTTGCACGTGTATTTCGTCCCACTCAATTCGGATCATCTACGGATTTTTTTCGACTGGCATTCGCTCGCTCGGTCTCTCCTCCCCACACACCGCCAGGCTAGCGCATACTCTGCGCCCCTTGAGATACTCTTCTTCATTTTTTTTATGGCTGCCCATCCCCTTCGGCTTGCCGCGACAGCCAGGCGCAGTTTGCTCACGCCGCATGCGGTAAGCCGTGCTTTTTCTTGCATTTCCGAACGCTGCGAGCCCCGCGCTCGAAGTCCGATCAACGTCATCACAAAGGAGGAGGAGAAGGAGGAGGAGGCAGGAGGAGGAGGAGGAGCCAAGAGGACGAGGCAGCTAAGATGAGGAGGAGTTGGACGAGGAGCCAAAAGGACCAGGGGGAGGTGGAGGAGATGGAAGAGGTAGAGGAGGAGGCAGGAGGAGGAGGCAGGAGGAGGAGGAGGAGGAGGAGGAGGAGGAGGAGGAGGAGGAGGAAGGGGGAGGAGGAGCCAAGAAGACGGGGCAGGAAGAGCCAAGAGGACGAGGCAGGAGGAGGGGGAGGAAGAGGAGGAGGAGGAGGAGGAGGAGGAGGAGGAGGCAGGAGGAGGCAGGCGGGAGGAGGAGGCCGGCAGGAGGTGGGAGGGGGGGGGGAGGCAGGAGAGGAGGCCCCCATAGGGCGAGCCGGACGGGATGCTCCGGCGGGGCCCCACCGTCGGAATCATCCTGTACGGCGCGAGCCCGGCCATCGCTCGGACGTCCCTTCCCCGTGCCCCACTGCTTCGGTCTCGTGCGTTTCTTCTTGTTGTTATTACTACTGCGACTTTTACGAGCTGTGTATGCTCTAATGATGTATTACTTAGTGTTAACACTTAGTGTTACTTAGTTGATGTAATACTTGTGTATTACTTGTGTATTACTAGTTACTTAGATGATGTAATACGTGTGTTAGTTACGAGCTGTGTGTGTATGCTCTAATGATGTATTACTTAGTGTTACTTAGTGTATTACTCTTGTTGGTTTACTACTACTGCTGATGTAATACTTAGTGTTAGCACTAATGATGTGATTGTGATGGTTGTGATTATTAAGAGACTGATTATTCTATACGAGTGATACTACAAGTAGTGGTGATATTGTTATTACGAACATAACTATCATGACAGCAACAAGTAGTAGTCTACCCGTCTTAATATCAAGACTACTAGCACTATCATCATTACTGCGACTGTTCCTAATAGATGCGGTCGTTCCTTCGAAAACGATCCCAGATGCCCTCGTCGAGGTAGGGAACAAAAAAACAAAAACAACAAACAAACAAAACAAAACAAAATAACAAAACAAAAAAACAAAAACGTCCGAGCGACGCCGGGGAGCGCGACCCCCCCCCCCCGCACTAAGACCCCCCCCGACCTCGGCGGCGGCCGCCCCGAGCGCGGCGAGGCCCTCGCGCCAGGCGCCCGCGCGCCCGCACGCGCTCAGCAGGGTGTTGAGGCCCACCAGCGTCGGGGGGAGGCCGTCCCTGGGCATCGGGCCGCTCGCTCGAGCAGGGGATGGACGACAGTCGGCACGGATCGGGCAGGACAACATACAACAAGCTCGCGCCCCCGAAGCGAGGGCATAAGCCTCCCGAGGGCCACATCGCCAGGGGGGCTGCAGGAGGCACGCGTCGCGAGGCACGGGACACGAGGGTGCCCTTGAGCTGGCAGGGTCGACCTGCTGATCCGGGCCGAGTGTACAGAACTGATGCACCCCAGAATGAATCCTGAGGTACAACCTTCGTAGATCTGCCAGAAGTCCTGCGCATTTCCCGTGGGCATCGGACCGGTGGGCGCACAGTGGAAGTCCAAGAGTAAGGACGGGCGGTGAGGACGCCAGGGCCCTGGACGCCGAAGCTGGCGCTCTTGGGGCGGCGGCGGACTGCCGACACCCTGGAGGGCTGGCCAATGAAAACGGCGAAGGACGGGCCGCAGAGGCAAGGACGCAAGGGTGCCCTAAGGACCTCCGTGCGTCCTTACTATGAGTGGTGACTTACCGCTATCGGCGGCGAGCGAGGGGGGAGTGAGAAGGAGAAGGCCTTCTCAGAAGGCGGCGGGACTTCTCAGAAGCCCTCGCGCTTTCTAGGAAGTTCTGTGTCTCCGGGGGAAGGCTTCGGACACTTCTCAGAAGGCTGGGGGACTTCCGAGCCTTCTGAGAAGCCCCGGCCCTTCTCGCTCCCCTCCCTCGCTCGCCGCCGACGTTAGGCTGAGGACGTCCAGGGTTCGCTAGGGGGTGACTTTCCCCAGAATGGCCGACGACGTTTTGCGAAACCTTCCAGGAGCCCTCACCGAAAGGTTCCGGTCGGCTTTGCGGAGGGTTCTGGCAGGGTTTCATATGGGTCGTGCTCGTTCCCGGAGGGGAACCAATCTCTAGCAAACCCTGGCTTGCTAACGCTAGGCGGCACCCATGCGAACCCAACCCCCGCCAGCCATCGATTATCCTGAACCGATTGGGCCCTAAGATCCTGGTGTTGCAATTTTTCCACAACGGGCGTTTTCGCCCGATTCCGGGTCCTGGAACCCTCACAGATCGATCTGGCTCGAAAAATGACACAGAAAGGTGGGGTCTGGGCTCTCGTGGTGTTTTTGGGCGATGTTGCAACTTCTTTGCGCTGTCGTATATGAAGGGAAGGCGGGAGCACGCTTCGGATTTCGCTACGTGCTCGACAACTCTCAGCCCCATCCGCGCCGCCCATCGAGTGGCCTGGATCGTGGATCGGCGAGGGTAGGGCTCGGATTTCGCCACGCGCTCGACGAATTCCGAAGCCTACCCCCGCCGCCCATCGAGTGGCATGAGCTGTGCATCGGCCAGGGTAACTAGGGTTCAGCTTTCGCCGCCGAGCCGCTCCGCTGCCCAGCCACCGGGCAGAACGGAGGCCGCAAGAGGGCTCGAGGCGGAGAAGATCGGTGGCCCGGTAAAAACCAGGGACTCTCCGGCACGGCGAGGGCATTGGACAAGGAGCCATTGGACAAGGAATCCAGAGTCTAGAAGCCCGGCGGAACTCCAATGGTGGACTGGCCATGCTGATCACAGCTGCCCCCATCAGCTAAGGAACCCCCCAGGGTCTGAAGCATCCTGGGGGCAGTCCTTCCCCAAAGCCCCCACCGTAATCCAGGACACTGGCGCGCCAGAGAAAACTGCGGCCGCTGGGTCTGAGCATTCTCCAGCCTCTGCTCCCTCCAGGTGGGCGGCGATCAAAAGAGCGAGCCTTACGCGAGTTGCAGCAGCCGCCTTACGCGGTGGGTTGCGCGGGCCGCCAGCGCGGCACGCTGCACTGGAAGCGAGGGCGCTTGCGCGCGACCTTACGCGGGCAGCTTACGCGCCGATGGCCGTGCAGTTGAACTCGTTTTTATTTCGGCACTCATGAGAGGAGGAGGAGGAGGAGGAGGAGGAGGAGGAGGAGGAGGAGGAGGAGGAGGAGGAGGAAGGGGGAGGAGGAGGAGGAGGAGGAGGAGGAGGGAGGAGGAGGAGGAGGGGGAGGAGGAGGAGGAGGAGGAGGAGGAAGAAGAGGTGGAAGTTTCAAAGTCCTGGTTGGCAAGGTCCGGATTCAGGGGGCCTCGAGGAGAGGGTGGCCTCCAGGCACCTCAGAGACCTGAGCCCCCGGCGACCTCCAGGGCCAGGAACCTCCGAGGGGCCAACCGACAGCAAAATCACGACGTGGAGGAGTCCCGACTGGACCCCACCACCCCATCCCTTGCCATCGCTCGGGCTCCCATTCCCCGTGCCTTTTTCGGTGTCGTGCGGGTTTTTGTTCGTTGCCAGATGATCCTAGATGTTCCTCGATGGTCCCCGCCGACCAAAATAATGGTGGGCGTGTTCCCCACCGCCGCCACCATAAGCAGGAGGGGGAGGGGGTCCTCCTCCTCCTCCTCCTCCTCCTCCTCCTCCTCCTCCTCCTCCTCCTCCTCCTCCTCTTCCTCCTCCTCCTCTTCATCCTCCTCCTCCTCCACCTCCTCCTCCTCCTCCTCCACCACCTCCTCCCCCTCCTTCCCCCCCCCCAGCTTCTGGTGGTGGTGGAAAGCAGGCCCATCGAAATACCACACAAGCCCGAGCGGTGGAAGGACCCCCGCGCGGGATCGCTCGAGCCGGGTCGGCCCGCGAGGGTCCCGCGGGGCCCCGAGGCGGGGGCCGAGACGCCAGCCCCCCTCGGGATCGAGCCCCCCGGGCCTGCCCGAGCGCGCGGCGGCCCAGGGCACTCGAGGCGAGCCCTGCTGCCGGGGCGACGGCAGGCCTCCCGGGGACCTCCGGGGGGCCACGGAGAGCAGCCGAGAGAGCGCCCGAAGCTCTGAGAGGCGGCGAGCCTCCGAAGACGTGGTCTTGAAGCTTCGGCCGCGGAAGGGTGCAGTCCATCCGTGCGGTGAGGATGCGCGGCACGGAGGGCCACGTGAGCGTTTTTCGAACGAGGCTGGCAAGGATGCCAGGGCAGCCTTTGGAAGCTGTGCACGCTGACTATGCGGGCTGACTGTGAGAATAAAAGAGGCACAGAGAGATAAGCATAAACTCGCAGAGGTCCGCACGGGTGTCTTGGACTGGCATTGGGCTTCCCTTCGTGGCGCACTCCGCGCGCCAGGGGCGGCGCCGGATGCGCAGCCAGGGTGCACAGCGCCGATGCAAGAAGTCCGCGCGGACCTGCGAAAATTTGTGGTTGTGCTGTTCACCGAAGTTGGCCGAGAACCTCCGAGGGGGCCTCCGAAAACTGGACGCTGGCGGCAAACCGTCGACCTGGCTCCGCCTGGGACCTCGTAGGGCTCCCGACCACTTGCCCTAATCGTCGTCGCTCACCACGGCAATCGTTGCGACCGTCGGCCCGGGAAGAGCCGTCCGTCGTCGCCGCCGCCGCAACAAAAGAGCGCCGCCGATGACAACGAGCACGTCCCCGCGCGAACTGGCGCGGCGCGCCTTCGACTCCGAGAGCCTCCGAAATTCACCGAGAACCTTCGAGGGGCCCGCCGAACGTCAAGGGCTGAACGATTCGTAGCGTTCCTCGAATCGAGCGGCCACAGTTTGCTGCAGATGTCCCTGGAGATTCCTAGACGTGCCTGGACATACCTCGATTTGTCGTCCTCCACCCCAGACCCCCGACGCCATGATTCTACACAACGTCGACCCCCAGAGGTCTCGACCCGTTCCTCAGGGCTGGTTTTTCTTCCAGAGTTGTTGTTTAACGGTCCCGAGGGCTGGTAAGAGCCCCCAGGGGCCGAAAATCGTGAAAAACCTGCTGTCGTGACTGTTTTCATGACCCGCAGGAGTCTGGGACCTTGACTTGTCCGCCTTGATGCCACAAGTCGATTAGCGACGAGTCGTCAAGCCCTCAGGGGCCCTCGAGCGGCCTCCAGGCCTCCACGAGCAGCCCCACGCTGCCGCCCTCCGCCGAGAAGGAACCCTCCAGGGTCTGGAGGCCTGCTGGGCACACGCCCTTCGGCGGCGAGCGAGGAGGGGGGGGACGTGAGAAGGAGAAGGTCTCCTCAGAAGGCGTGCGGGACTTCTCCGAATCCCTCGGGCCTCCTGAGATGTTTTCTGCGCCTTCGTGGGATGCTTGGGCTCAAGTCGGGCGCGTCCCTCTACGAAAGGAAAACTCAAAAATAGTCCAACAATAGTCTGCGGGAACGATTTGTTTGTATAGTGTTGTTGCAATTTTGGGGGTACAATTTGACTATGTTTTATTTGTCGTCCAAAATCCCCCTGTAGGAGGACAGGCCCGACTTAAGCTTGGGCAACTTCTCCGAAGGCCAGGGAACTTCCGGGCCTTCTCTGAGAAAGCCCGCCCCTGCCCGCTTCCACCCCCGCCCCCCCCTTCGGGGCTCGCCGCCGACCCCTCCTCAAACCAGCGTCCCCCCCCACCCCCGTGCGCCGAATTCGTTCTCCCCCCCGACTCCCGAGGAGCCTCCGAAGCTCCCCTCAGCGCCTTTCTAAGGGCGACTCCACTAACGGGTACTTTAGCCAGTGACCGTGCGCCGAATTCGTTCTCCCCCCCGACTCCCGAGGAGTCTCCGAAGCTCCCCTCCCTCAGCGCCTTCCTAAGGGGCACTCCACTAACGGGTACTTGGGCCAGTGACCGGGCGAACCCAGTGCTCCCCGATGTGGGCAACGCTGCAATGCCAGAAAGAAGCCTTAAAATCGCTCTTCTCGGCAATTTTCCGAAGTAACCATTAGTGAGTACCCGTTACGGTGCCGCTGACTCCTGGTGACCTATCCGAGCCCGGACCCCCGCCGCCATGCATCTTTCACGACGTGGACCCCCAGAGTGAAAGTCGGGCCTGTCCCCCTACAGGCCGATGTTCGAGGACAATTCGAAAAATTAGAAAGATAAGCAAACATTAACAGAACATATCTTTTTAACAAAAATCCCACGACTATTTTTAACTAGTTTTGAAAACTCCTCCTGTAGAGGGACAGGCCCGACTTAACCCCAGAGGTCTGGACCCCTTCCCTTGGACCGGCGTTTCGCCCCGAGACGTTTCCTGACGGTCCCGAGGCCCGGCGAGGGCCTCCCGAGGCTGAAAAAAACTACAGAAGACTGTCCCGCGGGGGGGTCCTCCGCCGATGGGGAAGCCGCCGACGGGCGTCCACCTGCAGCCCCCGTCGGGCGGGTCACCGAGAGCCGATCGCCTGCGATGGGGCAGAGGCTGCCCCTAAAACAGGGCTAGGATCGGGATAAATCGCTCCAGAGCGTTCCGGAGCGCTCTCAGAGCGTTCCGGAACGCTCTGGAGCGGCCGCGGCGCCCAATACATCCTCCAAACCCGCCGATTCTCAGAGATTTCGAGTTATCCCGATCCGATTTTGTCCCGATCTTCGCGTCGTTTTAGCCCCCCCCCCCGAGCGGCCTCCTGGCCTCCGCGAGCAGCCCCAGGCCGCTCTCCCAGCGCCCAGCCTCTGCCGGGGGGCGCGAGCAGAGAGGGAAGGGAGGGGCCAGGGCTCTGTTGCCTGAGGGCCACATCCCAGAACTCATGCCGGAGGGGGAAAGAATACCCAAACCGCTGCCTTTCCCTCGCTTCCCCCTTTTTGAAGCTCCGGGGAGGCCCTCGTCGCCACCGCTGGATTCGCCTCGAGATCCTAGTCAGAACGCACCCCAGGAGAGGTCCAGAAAGTAGCCGTATCCCTACCTCTTGGTTCCCCCATAATTTCGAGCACCCAGAGACCTATCGAAGCAGTGCCTGCCGGGCACGCTGGCGAAGTGCCGAACGAGCATCGCATCCCAGGGCCCGACACGCGAAAGCCCTCCAGTTTCGCTACTTTCCTGATGCTCAAACTTTTTTCTGCTGAAAACCTCAAGTAGGTTGGAACATCCCCAGACCCCCGACGTCATGATTTTTTTTCGCAACCCCCAGAGGTCTCGACCCCTTCCCAGGGACTGGTTTGACATTCTGCGTCGCTTCTTGACGGCCCCGAGGGCCGGGAAGGGCCCCCAGAGGTCGAAAATAACGAAAAACCTCCCGTCGTGATTCTTTCATTGAGAGAACGAAGAATGATATAAACAAAAAAACTCGGAGGTCCGCGCGGATTTCTCGGATCCGCGCTGGACCCCTCTGGCGACGCCTCCAGCGCCGCCCCTGGCGCGCTCCGCGCGCCAGGGAGGGGGGTCCAGCGCCGATCCGAGAAATCCGCGCGGACCTCCGAGTGTTTATACTTATGCCAGTCTTCGCCCCCATTTCATAACCCGAGGGGGCGAGAGCCAGACGATGCTCAGAGGTGCGCCCCCCGGGGCTCGGCAAGGGCCCCCCTGGGCTGAAAATACTTCAAAGCCGCCCACTCTCTGAGGCGAAATGCACACCATTCGACAGGAAATGATCAGGAGTTCCAGTCTCCGCACGCACGCACGCACGCACGCACGCACGCACGCACGCACGCACACACACACACACATACACACACACACACCACACACACACACACACACACGCAAGCACACACCACACACCACACACCACACTCACACACGCACACTTGGTGGCGTCGCGGCCACTCGTGCAGCGGCGCGGCCTAGAAAGTCGGGCGGATGGACGCACGACACAAACACACACACACACACACACACACACCAGGCAAAATCTGTTCTTTTTCTCGGCGTCGCGGCCACGCGCGCGGCGTCGCGGCGCAGAACGATTCGGAGAGATGCGCTCACCGTCCCAGCTCACGCTGCAAAAAGACACAGAGACACAAGCACACACAATGACACACACATGCACAGATACAGAGACACAAAGACACAGACACCTACTCCCTCTCTCTCTCACTCACCTATATAGATATGTGAATAAATGTACATGTTATACTAAAACAGCGCGCGCGCTTAGCGCGCTTATGCTCTAGCCAAATGCAAAGCCAGCGCCCCATCGATCAGCGGATAGGTACGCACGCCATCCCATGATGATCTCAACGTGGGAACACCCACCCCATCGTGGACACAGATATCTGAATAGCGTCTCCCCGCCGAATACGGCACATCCTTCACACGGATCATGCCCTCAGGGAGCTCCACCTACGACCCCCCATCCATCTCGGCACACCCCATCACAGGGATCGTGCCCCACAGGGAGCTTCGCCTACGGCCCCATTGCATGGCGGCACACCCTTCACGCGGAGAATGCTGCCCCGCAGGTACCTGCCCTGAAAAGGACGCTTCGCGCAGCGTCGCCCCTCTCACGTCAGCACAATCTCACACGGGTCGTGCCGAGTTCCACATACGGCCCCAGCGACAGGCTTCGCATCCCGCCCCCCCCCGCCTACTGCGGCACACCTCTCACACTGAACCTGCCCCACAGGGAGCTGCACCGACGGCTCCAGAGACAAGGTTTGCACAGCGCACTCCACCCCGACCATGGCGACACACCCCTCACGCAGAACGTGCCCCACAGGGAGCACCACCCACAGCCCCAGAGACAGGGTTTGCAAATCGTCCCTCCACCCATGTCGGCACACCGTTCACGCGAACCGTGCCCTGGAACGAGCTCCCCCAATGGCACCAATGGGCAACTTTCGGAGCCTCTTGGGGGCCGTTTGGGAGCCTGTTGGGGCCTCTCTGGGGGCTCTTGGGGGCCTCCCGGGGGCCGGACCCCACATCGAGCCGCATCGCCGATGCATCGACGTCGCGGCGCGATCCTCCGACACCATCTGGAGATCGTTCTTTTGATCAGACATAATCCAAATTATCCGGTAGGGGGGCGGGGGGGAGGTACCGGCCGATAATCTAACCTTCTTTGCAATGGCCAGCTCCACTTGTACACCAGCGCGCACCAGTGCTGCGCACCTCCGTTCGGGCCTTCGCGACCGACAAGGTCAGGCTTTCCAGACGTGGGGTGTGGGGGGGGTCAGGGGGCCACATGCGAACCCTACCCCTACCCCCCCAGCGATTTCTGAGGGGGAGGGTGGGGTTCACTTCGCTCGGGAGCTCGGCTCACTTCGCTCGGGAGCTCCCGAACGAAGTGAACCCCACCCTCCCCCCTCAGAAATCGTTGGGAGGGTAGGGGTAGGGCTCGCATGTGGCCCCTTACGGGGGGGGGGGGGGCGGGCGGACCCGATAACCTGGGCTGCCTGCTCGGACCCCGTCTGGGAGGCCCTACCTCATTCCTCCGACCCGTCGAGCGCGCTCCGCCGAGGCCTCCCGGCAGGCGGCCACGGCGACGTTGACGCTCACGGCGTCGAGCCGCAGGCGGCTGAGCCGCACGCGCCGGAAGAGGTCCAGCGCGCGCCTTTCACGGAGGGGGCCGCAAGGCTTCGCAACCCCTCGAGCGGCACGGGACGCGCTCCCAGGTCTGCCCGGCGTCGTCCCGATGGGCTCCCGAGAAAACTAGGGGAACAAAAAGTGATATAAACATAAAAACTCGGAGGTCCGCGCGGATTTCTCGGATCTGCGCTGGGGCCCCCCGGCGGCGCCTGAGGGGGGTCCAGCGCCGATCCGAGAAATCCGCGCGGACCTCCGAGTTTTTATGTTTATGCCACTTTTTGTTTCCCTACAAACTTTCTGCAAGATCCTGCACCCGGATCCGGGTCAGTGTGCGCAGGAGCCTGCAGGATCCTGCAGGATCCGCACCCAGACCCGGGTCAGCGCGGCTGGCCCTGCAGGAGCCTGCAGGATCGGGAGCTCTGGCTGACCCCCGTCTGCATGGACCCCCGTCTCAAGGCCTCCCGAAACTGGGAACGCGCGCGCGCGTGCCGGCGGCGAGCCCAGGGTGGCAGTCGGACGGGGCGGGCCTTCTCAGAAGACCCGGAAGGCCTGCAAGCCTTCTGAAAAGGTGCTAAGCCTCCTCCGAAGATCTACAGGTTGGGGGCCCGACCACAAGAAACCTTCCACAAGAAAAACAGCCCTGAGACCCCAGGAGGTCCGTTGATTTTTGGTGTGGGAGCGTCGCGCTTCCCGTAGCAAAACCATCGAAACCCAAGAAACCCGGGGCACCCTGGAGGCAAGCAGGTGTGTGTTCTTGGCATGGGCCCCTACTGTAGATGGCTTCTCAGGAGGCTGGAAGGCTTCTGAGTCGCCCCGCCGCCTGTTGAGAAGGCCTGCCTCTTCTCGCTTCCCCCCGAGGCGCGCCTCCTAGTGTGGGGACATGCGTGGCGGCGCGACAGGGACAAGGGCAGCGCGCCCACCCTTCGAAAGAGGACGTCGCTGCTGTATCAGCGCCCCCCCGTCTCTCGGCGACGTTTCGCTCCACTTCCGAGCAGCTTGGAGCGTGCGCCCGTGGGGAAGCACATGCGTGGTGCATCGACCCTCCCTGAAGGGTCGTCGTAGCTTTAGGTCGGGCATGTCCCCCTACTGGCGGATTTTGGGCGGAAAATGAAAACACCCAAAACAAAAATGGTTACAAGTTGGTCCCCAGACTATTGTTTGACTATTTTTGACTGTGTTTGAATATTCCTCCTGTAGAGGGACACGTCCGACTTGATCGTAGCTGCATCCGCGCCCGCTGGCCCACCAGAGACAAGAGAAGGGCAGCTCGTGCATCGACACGCCTCGAGAGGACGCCGATGCTGCATCCGCGCCCCCTGGATCACCGCAGATCTCAGCACCGACCTTGCAGACGTGCTGCAGTGAGTTTCTGCATTGATTTTGTACATGCAAAACCCCGAAACAGCGTGTAAAACGAATGGAATTGCGCGTGGTTTCTTTTAGTCTTCATCCCTGGCCAAAGAATCCGCACGAACTCCACCTCGAAATCCGGAACGAAATTCTCCAGGGCATCCCGGGCCCAGCCAATCGTTCTCCGAACGAAATCGGTTCTGCGATGTTGGCGCCGTGACACTTGCCGCAGCATGGGGGAAGCGGGTCCTGAGGGAAACGGGTCCTGGACCCATGGGAAGCGTCCAATGCCATGCTGGGGTAGTTCAGTATGGGGAGTGGGCGGATAAGATAGGATAAGATCGATGTAATGATCTTTCCAGCACATAGCGAACACTAGCAGTGTCCGGGCAAATAGGGCGCGCGTGCCTTGAGCCAAAGGCAACGGCGCGCGAGCTATACTCCCGATCCTATATAACATCTCCCAAAGAGCTACCCTTAAAGTAACGGGTCCTGGACCCCAGGGCCTTCTCCCAGGACGAGCTCCTCGTCCCGCGCCGTTCTGTTCCGCCAGCCCCGGGGCCCGTGGAGGGCCCCAAGAGCCCGGCAACGGCGACGAGCCTCAGGACCCGTTGCCCTCAGGACCCGCATCCCCCATGGCGATCTTCGGCGGCGAGGGAGGTGACTACCTACCAGACCACCCCAACCCAACCCGAAGACCCGAATTTGACCCGAATTTCGGGTTGGGGGGGGTACGGGTTCCATGTGTTTTTGTCAACGTTCCCCGACCCCCCCCCCACTGGAAATGGAGGGCAAATTGAGGCCTTCGGGTTGGGTTGGGGTGGTTTGGTAGGTGGTGAGGAGGGGGTGAAGTCGGATGCGGCGGGCCCCCTCGGAAGGCTCGGACGTGAAGCTTTTCTCTGCGCCTCCCCCGACGTCGCAGAAGGCCGCGGGGCCCCTGAGAAGTCCCGCAGCGCAGCCTTCTACGGTCGGGCTTGACTGGGCAGGACGCGCGAGAGGACACAAGACCCTTACCCAGGGCCCCATCGCCACAGGAATGCAGGAGGCATGGGCCGCGAGATACAGGGCACGAGGGTACTCTTGATTTGGGGGGGTCGGCCTACTAATCAGGGCCGGCTGTACGCAGGCCCTCTCCTTCTCTCGCTTTCCCCTTGTCGCTCGCCGCCGAGATCCGTCGCAGGCCGGGCGCGGACGTTTCCCGGGGCCGGCGGGCCGTTCTCAAGAAGTGAGGCAGCGTTAGCTCGGGAAGATCCCCCTACAGGCGGATCTTGGACGAACCAATACAAACACAACAGAAATACCCCCACATAGTCAAACATGTTTTTTATATGTATAGATATATGAAAATTGTTGTGGACTTAATACTAGTACACATAATAATAAGACAAGCACTTCATACTGCTGAAAATAATAATGATAATGCGATCAGCAGCAACAACAACAAAAACAAGAACCGCAATAACAACAATCAACTAACAAGTACAATACGATTAATAATACTAACAATAATTAAAATAATACTACGAATACTAATAATAATAATAATCATAGTGGTAATAATAGTGATACTCTTAACTTCAAGCATAGTAATCATTTAAAAAAAAAAAAAAAAAAAAAAAAAAAAAAAAAAAAAAAAAAAAAAAAAAAAAAAAAAAACTTCTAATATATTCATTACACTAATAAGACGAACAAGCAGAAGAAACATTACACCATATGTGTCTATGTATTAGGAATAGGATTCTGAATCAAAAATAGTACGACGAAGAAGACGAATACACATGGCACCATACACTCCTATGTATTAGTAATACGAGTCTTAATACATAATAAGAAAGATGATAATAATGATCATAATGATAATAATAAGAAGAAGAAGAAGAATGAGAGCACTGACTATTTTGGGGCTGTTTGGGTAAATTGCTCCTGTAGAGGGACAGGCCCGACTTGAGGGCAGCGCCGGGGCGTCAGCGCCGCCGCCGCGGCGCCGCCCGAGGCTCTCCGAGGAGCCGAGGCCCCCCGGGTTTCTCCGAGGCCCGAGGAGGGAGGACCGAGGCCCCAAAAAAATTGGTTGTGCTTCGGAGGCAGCTGCCGGGAGGCCTTCGCCAGAAGGCTTCTTCGTCCTGTTAGGAGGCAGCTGCCGGGAGGTCTTCGCCAGAAGGAGTCTTCGTCCTGTGAGGAGGCAGCTGCCCCCCAGAGAGCGGGCGCCTCGAGAGAATCGAGACGGAGGTTCTGCGCAGTTTTCGGCCTCTCGAGGCCCTCGCAGGAGCCTCGGGACCGTAGAAAAACGACCCAGGACGAAAAACCGGTCGCGGGGAAGTGGTCGCGAGGTCGGGGGTCCGTGTATCGAACAAATCGAGACGTCGGATGTCTGGGAGCTGGGAGGTGTCTCGTCCTGAACCATTGCCCGAGCGGGATGCAAATGGGGGGATAAGTCCAGATGGGGAGAGAGGCGAAACCGAGGTACAAATTGTACCTACGCCCCACGGAGAAGGTACAATTTGTACCGACGCCACGCAGACAAGGTACAAATTGTACTTTTGACATCGTCCGCGACATGTGCGAGGATGTTAACGGGGGGGGAGAATGTACAATTTGTACTTGCAACCCGCAGAGAAAGTACAAATTGTACCCCAACAAAACGGTACCGGATACTCATCCCCCCATGTCCTGATCCCCCCATCGGCATTCGGCCGACCGGTCCCGAGGGCCGGTGCAGGCCCCCAGAGGCCGCAAGGAATGGAAAACTGGCCGTCGTGATGTTTCATAACTCGAGGGGGTCTGGGACGAGAGCTGCCATCGGAACCGGGAAATAGTGGCGACGGAGCGGGACGCAGCACGGCAGCTCTACTTTTAAGTCGGGCCTGTCCCTCTACAGGAGGAATAGTCAAAAGTACTCCAAGAGTAATCAAGGGACGATTTTTTATTTGATTGGCGAATTTGGGACATTTGTGGGGTATTCTAAAACTTTCACCCAACATCCGCCTGTAAGGGGACATATCCGACCTAAGATTGGGGAGAATAAAGCCCCATTGGGGGCTGGTACGCCGGATTCTGCCGCAGATTGAACGGGATGAAGCGGGATTGAGCGGGACTACGCCAGATTCAGCGTGGTTAAACCAGACTAGGCCGGACGTCGGACCAGGGCAAAGTCAGAATTTGACCTCCCTATACACTTTATTAGGAGGCAGCTACTGGGAGGTCTTCGTCGGAAGGACCAGGGAGAACAGGTGGCACGCGTGCCCTAGCTCTCGCACCAAGGAGCTGCGAGGGACGGGAGGCTTTCGCCCTCCTTCCTCGAGCAGCTTCCTTCTGTGGCCGGGGGGGGAGGGGGGGGGACGAACGACGAACGAACGAACGACGACGACAAACGAAAATCAAGAGGTCCGAGCTCTAGAACACAGCTGTGCAAGAGAACAAAGCCCCACTGGGGGGCTGGTGCGCTGGATGAGGCCGCAGATGAATCGGGATTCTGCGGGATCACTCCGGCGTACGCCCGACTTCGGACCAGGGCAAAGTCAGGATTCGACCTCCCAGGAGTTGCATCCGAAGTGTGCGGCGTCCTCGAGCGACGTCGACCCCACCTCCCCACCCCCACGTCTCCAGCCATCGAAGCCCTGACGGCTCCAGCGAGGCGCCGAGAAGCGCCGTACACCGCCGATAAGCCGACGACAAGACACGCAACTCTCCAACCTCGGACCCTGTACTTGGCGACGCGAGCAAAGGGGCAGGGGGAGGGGGGAAGGCCTCTTAGAGAGGCTGCTTCTTAGAAGGCTTGCTTCTGTAGCGAAGGCCCGCGCTTGCGCTAATACAGGGAGCGCAAGAAGGACGCACGCGCCCAACCACGTACATGAACACTGTCTCCCAGTCCGCGAGACCAACCTCGTGATACGAACGTTTCAGCAATGCGTACTCTTCATATGCGTGCCTGTCTTTCTCTCGCTCCTGATAAGAAGCAGGGATGCTTCGAAGAAGCCTTCCCCCCTTCCCCGGCCCCCCTTCTGCGCGAATCCGATACACATTCTGGGCGCGGCCGGGATGGTCGAGGGGCACATCGCAGCCGAAGTGCCAGGTGCTGCCAGAGGTGCCCCCGGCCAGAGTGCCCCGAGGCTCTCCGAGGAGGCCCCCGCGGCCTCCGCTGCACCCCCGTCGCGAGGCCTGAAAAGGGCCTCGGGTGCTCGAAACTTGGACGAAAAGCTGGGGGCACCCTCCTCCTCCTCCTCCTCCTCCTCCTCCTCCTCCTCCTCCTCCTCCTCCTCCTCCTCCTACCCTGGGCCAGGGGCACCTGTGGCAGCCCCCGCAGGGGAGAGAAAAAAAAAAAAAGGCGCGGGGGAAGAGGAAGCCGCGTGCGGCGGAGCACCCTGCCCAGATGCCGTGAAGATTCCGGTTGCAGTCGGACTTGACTGGACAGGACGCGCGAGAGGACACAAGACCCTTCCAAGGGCCACACTGCCACGGGAATGTAGGAGGCATGGGGATCGCGATGCACAAGGCACAAGGGCACCCTTGGTTTGGCAGGGTCGACCTACTACTCCGGGCCGACGGCACGTGTGCCGGGGCTCACACGGGCAGCGAGCCCGGAGTGGCAGGGCCAGAGATGTGGCCGTACCAGGGCGCCGCCAGTTTTTGAGATGCGAAGGTCCCCGCAGTCACAGCAGACGGTGTGAGTTCCTCAACGCGCGGCCCCCAAGGAGGTCTAGACCCTTCCCCGCGGGGCCTGCCTTACATCCCGAGACGTTCTTCGACCGCCCATGGACCCAGCGGGGGCCCCCATCATAGGGGCCGAAGCTTGTCCAAAACCTCCCGTCGTGACTTTCTTTGTTATCGATGCGGCGGGTTCTGGGGAGGTCCGCTTTCCCTGAAATCCGGCGTTGCCAGAAAGCTGCAACGTCATACTAAATGTAGGTCGGGCAGGAATGGAAGAGGAGGAGGAGGAGGAGGAGGAGGAGGACGAGGAGGAGGAGGAGGAGGAGGAGGAGGCAGACGAGGAGGAGGAGGAGGAGGAGGAGGAGGAGGAGGGGAGCAGGGGCAGGGCAAGGAGGAGGAGGGAGGAGGAGGAGGAGCAGGAGCAGGAGCAGGAGGAGAAGGAGGAGGAGCGAGGCAGGAAGGGCGGGGCGGAGGAGGAGCAGGGGCGGGCCTCCACTGCGTAGCCCTCCCTAGCGCGCCCACGGCCGCGCTGCACACCCGCAGGCTCCGCAGCCCCGGCGGCCCGTCCTCCCAGCAGGGCCCACCGGCGCCCGCGCCGCCGCCGCGCCCCGCGCCGCCCGTGGCGCCGCGCGGCGCGGCGCCCGCCGCGCCCGCGCGCGCGGCGGCGCGCATCGCCGCCAGCGCGCAGCGCCCGCGCGCGCCGGCGCAGCGCGCAGCGCCTGCACGGCGGCGGCGCGGCGCCGACGCGCGGAGCGCGGCCGCAGGGCCCGCGCAGCGCGCCCGCCCGCGGCAGCGCCCGCGCGCGGAGCGCGCGGCCCGCGCCGGCATGGCCCGGCGGCGCGGCATGGCGCGCGCCGCGCCGCGCGGAGCGCGGCGGGCCAGTCGGCCGCGGGCGCTGGCGGGGTCGCTCGGCGCGAACTGAGACCCGGACCTACAACGATCGAGGTTCGAGGGTCGAGGCTCGAGGATCGAGGATCGAGGCTCGAGGATCGAGGTTCGAGGATCGAGGATCGATGTCTTGGGGGCGCTCAGTGGACATGCAGGGCCGCCCTCGTGGCCACGGCTGGGTGCACATCGAGATTCTGACCAGGACGTAGCCCAGGAGAGGTCGGGGGCCATCGTGGTCGTCGTCGTCGTCGTCGTCGACGTCGTCGTCGTCGTCTTCGTCGTCGTCGTACGCAGACCCCCTCGCGCGGCGAAAGAATTACGGCGGATGTTTGTTGCTGTTCTCGGCCTCGGGGTGCCCTAGCCAGGTCCAGGGCCCGCCAAGAACTACTCAGGATGAAGAGCTGGTCCCTGGTCGGGGACCCCGTATCGGAACAAAAAAAATCTCGGCGTCGGATTTCGGGGGGGGGCTGTCAGGCGCCATACCCCTGTGGGACAGGGGTGCTCGCCGAGAGGGAGCGAGAGGCAGCGGGGAGGGAGGGGAGGGATTGGAGGGAGGGACGAGGCGAAGCAAGTGTAACAAAGAAAACAGGGAACAAGGCGGGGCCCCTACCTCATGGGGAGAAGGGGTACCTCGCCAACGTCCTACTCCTCCTCTTTTTCCTTTGGCGCTGGCCAGACGCTGACCGACGAACATAGATGCGTCAATGATCTTATTCCTCATCCGCCTCCTCATCCTCCTCATCCTCATAATCATCATCTTCGTCGTCATCATTCTCATCACCACATGCCATCATCACCAGCAACAATGTAAAGACTGTTCGATCTTCGTTGCTCCCGCACCTTTCAATCTGTGGGGTACAGATTCCTGGCCTGCCACGTGTAGTTGACACGGCCCCTGAAACAGGAAGCGGAGGGAGGAAACAGAACGGCAGAGAGCGAGGAAGGGAGGAGGCAACGAGAAGCGTCGGGGGGCAAAAGGCAGGAAGGAAGACTGAAGACGAAACAGATGCAACGGGAGAGGGGGCAGGGACAGGGGAGCAAGAAGATTGGCGGGCGGATCCTACCGGGTGGGTCGGGCGGGCAGACCTCAGCGGGCGGGCGGGGCTGGGCGGGACATCTCAACGGGCGCGCGGGCTTCCAATCGAGCGGGTGGGCGGACAATAGTGGGCAGAGCCGGCGGGCGGACCCTGACGGGCGGGTCGGGCCTAGCGAGCCCTAATGGTCGCGTCGGGCAGGCGGGCGGTGGCACCGAAGCGGGCGGGCGGGAGTCTGCAACTTGCGCAGCAGCCTTGGACGAGAGCACAACTTCATACGAAGCAAGGGCGCGATGCCTAGGCGTCAAGAGCACGGCGCCTGGATAAGTTGCAAAGACGTCCCAAGCGAGAGCGCAATTCATGCGTGAGTGGTAAAGAAATCCCACGCGAGAGCGAGGTGTTGAGTAAACTGTGAGGAAGTACCAGAAGGGATCAGTCGTTGTTGAAGTCGAAGGGCAACAAACCAGTTTACCAATAATTAAACAGATTACCCAACGCGGACCGCACACAGTGTGTTTCCAGCCGTATATGTTGTGCCATCGATGTGAAGCAATCTCTAGATATATGACACAATCAATATGATGCAATCTGCGTTGTGCAGTCTTTGGTGCGCAATAAATGCTGTGCAATCTCATATATTGTGCGACCAGTATGGTGCAACACATGTGGTGCACCCTTCGTGGTGCAATCTATGTGGTGCGCAACTGATGCTGTGCAATCAACGCGGTACAACATATGTGGTGCAATCTATGTTGTGCAACTCACTTGCCGAACTTGGAGTGGTCAACTCCACTGCTCGCGCAATCATCCCACCTACCCACCCGCAACTTGGTTTGCAAAACCCATGCGGGAACAATTGCGATGAGTGCTGGGTGTTGGCTGGTACATCTTTGCGGCCGCGCGAGCCCGCAACGACTGCGACAACACCGACAACATCTCCAACAACTTCGACGACGCCGACAACGACGACGACGACGACGACGACGACGACGACGACGACGACGACGACGACGGCGACACCGACGACGACGACGCCGACGCCGACGACGACGACGACGATGACGACGACGACGACGACGACGACGACGACGACGACGACGACGGTGACAACGCCGACGACGACGACAACGACGACACCGACACCGACGACGACGACGTCAACGACGCCAACGACGACGACGACGACGGCGGCGACGACGACGACGCCGACGTCGACGACGACGAAGACGACGACGCCGACGACGACGACGAAGACGACGACGACGTCGCCAACGAAGACGACGACGAGGGAGGAGGGAGGACGACGACGGCGACAACGACGAGGGAGGAGGGAGGACGGCGACGACGCGAACGACGAAGACGGAGGAAGGACGGCGACGCCGACGACGACAACGACGAGGGAGGAGGCAAGACGACGACGACGACGACAACGACGACGACGACGACGATGACGACGGCGAGGAAATAGGAGGGACGACGACGAGACGCCGACGACGCACGACGACGACGACGAGGGAGGAGGAGGAAGGACGACCACGGCGACAACGACGACGGAAACGACCACGACGCCAAAGAGGACGACGACGACGAACACGAGGAAAGACAGAGGACGACGTAGGCGACGACGACGACGACGACGACGCGGGAGGAGGGAGGACGGCGACGACGACGACGACGACGCCGACGACGACGCAAGAGCGTGCGCGCACGCTTTTGTTGAAAATCCGTGTTGCGAAACCTTGTGTTTTTGTAAGGGTTTTTTTGGACACACGATTTTGAAATCCTTCCGAAACCGATGGGTTTTGAAGGACTTCGGCATACGCGCGCGACGACGCGCGCGTCTGCACTTCGTCCCATTTGTTGCAGGGGATTCTCGCGACGGCACACGCGCAAGGGCGTTCGACAGATTTCGACATGCGCGCGCGAAGCCCGTTTGGTAGCATGTCGTGAAAATATTGAAAAACCGATGGTTTGCTTAAGATTTCACAAGAGCTCGCGCGTAAGCTGTTTTAGCAAATCAGTGTTGCGAAACCCTGTGTTGTTGTATGTTTCTTGGATACTCGATTGCGAAATCCTTCCGACACCGAGGGTTTTTGAAGGATTTCGGCATGCACGCGCGACGACGCGCGCGTGCGCACTTCGTCCCATGTTTTGCCAGGGATTCGTGAAAAAATGCGATGTTAGAACAAAAAATGTAACCGCATAGTGTTTTTTACAGGGGAACCTCAGGGGGGGGAAGCCGGTTGGCCTGGGACATTGTGATTTCATATTTAAGATGGACATGTGGTCAGAGTCATATCTGATTTACATAGGACGCGGGGGGAGTGATAACGCCGGGGGGGGTAGAGTCTATTCGGTTTTTAGAAAGGAAGATCAATGCTGTGCAATATGTGTTGTGCAATCGATGTGGTGATATGTATGTATCTATATATATGGTGCAATGTATGTCACCCACGACGCGGAGAGTGCGGCACTCCCCCCGGGTGCCTGCGACAGGGCGCACCCCCGAAGAGGAGCGACGAGGACGCGAGAGAGGAGGGAGGGAGGGAGGGAGGAAGAGAGAGGAGAAGGAGGAGGAGGAGGAGGAGGAGGAGGAGGAGGAGGAGGAGGAGGAGAAGGAGGAGCAGGAGAGGCGAGAGAGGGCGGGGGCGAAGAAATGAGCGGAGGGAGGCGAGAGAGCGGGGAGGGGGGCGAGGGAGGGAGGCACTGGCGGAGAGCGCGGGGAAGGAGCAGGACGGCAAGGGGGAGACGGGAGGCCCAGAGAGAGCCCAGCATCGTATGGAGGAGTCGGCTCGGCGACCAGCACGAATCGGCGGGGCTCGGCGGCCGAATCCGCAGGTCGGGCATGTGCTCCTACAGGCGGATGTTGGAGGAAGAGGTAAAAGAGTATAAAAAATGATACCAGAGAAAAACCCCAATCAGAATCTTAAGGGCTATAGGGCTACAGGGCTATATGGGCTCTTGGGCGCTATATGGGCGATATAGCTATATGGATTATAGGGCTATAGGGCTACAGGGCTATAGAGCGATAGGGATATAGGGCTATAAAGCTATAGGGCCACAGGGCACCGGGCACCCAGGCACCCGGCACCCAGCACCCGGGCACCCAACTGGGCACCGGGCACCCACCACCCGGGCACCCGGGCACCTGGGCATCCAGGCACCCGGGCCCGGCCACCGAATCGGCGACGAACCCGGGCACCCGGCCACCCGGGCACCCGGGCCCGGCCACCGAATCGGCGGCGAACCCGGGCACCCGTGCACCCAGGCACCCGGGCCCGGCCACCGAATCGGCGGCGAACCTCACCTCAGCCTTGAATCCGCTAGGACCCCTACAGAGGCAAACTCTGATTGGGGAACAAGAGAATAAAGAACAGTGAGTTACAAGTAATCGAAAAATCGTCCACGTACTATGTTGTACTATTTTCGAACATTCCTCCTGTACAGGGACATGCCCGACTCAACCCTATTGGGAGAAGCCGAATCGAGGCCTCCCACGGGGAAGCTGGAGAAATCGGAATCCGAAACCGACCCGGATCGGAATCGGGACCGATCGGAATCCGAAGCCGAGTCGGAGGAGTCGAACCGAGCCCCTGGGGGGGGGGGCGAGCGCGAGGCGCCCGCCGACGACGACGACGACGACGACGACGAC